TCTACCAGAGGTGATCCACTGTCCACAACAAGAACAAGTGTGTCCTCGTTATTAGAAAGAACTGGATCAGTTTCCTCTACATTTGTGGGCTCAGCATCCCTTACAGTGCTTTGAATCCCATGCAAAGTTTGTCAGTTTGCACCTCCAATAATGTTAAGGACCATATCTCTGTAGTCTGTGCTCTGGTAAGGTTTGTCACCAGTTTGAGTGTTTTTGGCTTCAGCATGGTCCCTTCTTGACTTGGCCTTCTTCCATCTGAATTTAACTAACTCTGCTGTCCTCCTAACACCCGAGCCCATTGTGACTCAGTCCTACAAATACATCATAATGGTTCTTGACACCCACCAGCAGTGCCAATGCTGAATTTATAGGACCAACTTGATTAGTTGAACAAAACACTTAAGAGATATTTTGAACAGCTGCATCTCCCTAGTCAGAGGGATTGCATGAGGATTTTCTGGGTCCTCATCAGGCTCAGGTGCATCATAAACATTATCACAAAGGGGTACATTATGTCTTGTGACAATGCTGTGAAGCACATTACAGGCAAGTATTATTTGGCATTGTAGCCTGTGGCTCCACTAGTACAAGTAGCTGAGCAAGCAAAGGGCCTTATCCAGAGAAATAGGACATGAAAGATTTGCCCTTGTTCCCACATGTCCTAACACAGTGCTGGTGAACAAATCCATCTGTCCATTTATGCTCTTCCAGGGCAGCTTCCTCCACAGAAAAACACAGACTTCCCTTTCCCCAATCACCTGCTTTAGTGTATCTGAGGGAACACCAAGGCGTTCTCATGCCAGCCTTAAGAAATATAATCTCTCCAAATTGTCTTGGGTCAGAGCCATTCATAAATGATTGAACTCTTCATTCTATCTCTAAGGGAGAGGCCAGACTCTCTTCATAGAAACCTCTTGTTTTTCAAAAATAAATAAATATATTTCTGTTTTAAAACAGAAAAAGTGTTCTGTGTACTATTTTCAAATCATTGGAATCTCTTTTAACGTTTTTAACTTCATTGTTTTTGCATTTTGTAATGCTATTTCATCAAAATACCTCAGAGAATCTGAGAAGTAAAACTTCTTCTTCTTCAAGGCTGAACTGTGAGGCTTGTTAAGAAATGATTCACTGAGGCTTAAAAGTTATTTCCATTAGAAGACTTCACCCCCTTGAACAGGGGCCGAGGGGTTTCTTTGGCTGACTTAACAGAGTACCTAATAAGTCCAAGATGCATCACCACTGCACAAACAAAACCTCTTTTATATTTTAGAATCTGAACTAAGCTGACCTCATCTGTCATACCATGTGCGCTCTTCATGATGTGCAAAATAAACATTAGTATAACTCTTATGCTCAAAACAGAGCAACGCAGCCCTGGTAGAAATCAGACACCTCTCAGACATGTGGTAAGTGAGGGGCTACAATTTCATGTGCTATTTAAGGGTTTTACTGTGACCTTTTCCTGAACACTACCACTGCTTCTGTGTGCAAAAGCCTTAGCAGCTTGAATTGAGTTAAGTTCTTCTGGGAATAAGGGATGAGTCAAAAGAAACTACACTTTCTAACACATAACTCGTGTTTAAAAAGCAAAGAGGGAAAAGAACTAATACTCTAAAGAAAAAAGTATGAGTAGAGAACAATGACTGCTTTGTTTAAAAAGAAATTAAGAAAAACTAAGAATAAAAGAAAAAGTACTGAAAAGTAATTGTGAGTTAAAAGGAAATGATTTCCAAGGAACTGCAGACCAGAAACATTAACACTTTTCTTACAGGAAACTAAAATGGGCACTTCACTTGTCAGCATTAGGAATCTGAGCCCATGTAATATAGTTACTGAGAAAGTTAAAATGAGCAGTGTGCAAGTCATACAAACCTTTAACCAGAAATATGGAGACAATTGTGACATTTCTGGGAAATACTGTTTTATTTAATTTTTATGCACTACTAGGCTATGCACTAGGAATTAGTAGTAGAGGGCTGAAGTAGTTACATGAGATGTGCCAGGTTAAGTACATTATCTCAGCAAAGCACTGTGGGGATCAAATCCTCAGATGTCAGTGGGAGTGAAAAATTATTACAGCTTATACAAAGGGCAGATTGTGAAAACTGTACATTTTGTCAGAGCCATTCTTTCAATAGATACTCTGCATACCTTAAGATGAGTCATATTATGCCCTAGATACGAACTTTCTGTTTGGTAAGTATCGTTTCTCCATAATGCTCAAACAGGTTCTGGTAACCAAGTACTGGTTTACTGCTTTACAGCTTACACAGCAGCACTGACAGCCAATCAGCATCTATAAATTGTAATTTGAAATATGTTCATAACACAATCTGACCACAAAAAAAGAAAAGAAGAGAGTAACTGACTGTTAGACCTTTATTTAAAGCTTAGAAATGCTGCTGTGGTAATCCACACATTCAGGACTGTTAAGGGTGTTTTTAGCATTTAGTTTCTTTCTGTTTTAGGTATTTTAGGCATTATCTATCATTTTATAGATAATCTATATTTTCTTTTTTTTTTTAACTTCCTCCTCTCTTCATTTCTTTTGCCAACAAAATTCTCTTTTTCATGATCTTGTCTTTAATGCTACTGTGGTAATGGTGTTGCAACAGTGGAGAATTTCCTTTCAACATACATCACTATTTACAGTGTTTTCATTTACACCAGTCATGTACTACTACACAATGCTGCACTTTCTCACTCACTGCAGTATTGCTGCTCCTCAGTGCTGCTAAGGCAAAAGCGGAGACTGCAGGACAACTGCACACAACAGAGCATGGAGGAGGGGGTAGAGTGTATGCACAGACACAGAGTAACTTAAAGGATGAAAAAAAACTACTGAACTAAGATGAGAGAAACAAAGTAAAGTATTGATTCTATGATGCTATTGATCCAGTACCAATACCACCTTTGGTATCAAAGCTGATCCACCAACTATTATTTACCACTACCGAGTCACAACTACAAGATTCCTGGTCTGAATCTTTGAGATCCAGACCCTTCTGTGAGAAGTTTGTGTGTGCTCCCTGTGCCTACAAGGATTTCTCCAGGTATTCCAGTTTCCTTTCAAAGACATGCATGTTAGGTTAATTGATGATTACAGATTTGAGCTCAATAAAGTGCTTAAAGTGTATCAAATAATGCATGAACAAACCTAGCTTGTAGTCTACAACTCTTTGAGTGGTAAGAAAGGCTGGAAAAGCACTTTAGAAATAGAAGTATGTAACATTAAAACGTCCAAATGATGAAAGAAGCTCAGGGTATCTGATGGCAGGATGGCTGCAAATGCAACTGTGTAAAACTGAAACTGAAAGACACTCCACACTTGTACTTGTAAATCCAAAGCTAGACCCAGTTTAAAGTTTAAAATAAAAAAAGTGTTATTTCACGTGTGAATAATATGACAGAGATCCATCAGCTAAGAATGTTTTCTGGTTTAATCTGGTAAAACATCACTGCAAACAAAGAAGCTCAGTTCAGCTGTTTTATCTAGAGTGATTAGATTAGCATGTAGGCTAGACACATTAGAACAAACAATAACAAAAAGCTTGTCCATTAGTCTTTTACGGACTCCTTTCATCTGTGCGTTTCTGGTTGGTTTATATGCATTGTATTAACTGCTGTTGCCAGTCTGCACAAATTACATGTAACTGGCATTCCTCAGCAGTATATAAGGATTTTCTCCCAGTTACCTGCTGTCAGAAACCTGTCAGATATCATGGGTTAATGCCCCAACAAGTCAGTTTCCACAGTAACATGAGGGTTGTTTTGGTGTTGCTGCTGATTGTGTCAGTGATAGAATTGCAGAAAAAAAAAAAACAAGCTTCTACTTGTCCTTACAGGTGTAGTGTTCTCATACGGGGTCATTTTATTTATATGCAAAACTGGAGCATCCCATAAAGTCTATGATTTACTGGAATTGAATAAGCTTTCATGACTCCATCTGTGACATGCTCAATGTTCTGTAAATAAACGATGTCGTTAAAGATGAGCAAACATAGATTAGATGTCAGATTGTTTCGAAACATCAACACAAATCCGGCACAATTGCTTCAGACTTTCCATTGTTTCAGAAAGCCCTAGTTTGCCCATCTCAATTTGCAGGTAACTCAAGTCCAGCCAAGGCACTGAATCAACTTGGAGCACAAACAAGAGAACAAGGTCAGGTGACGAAGGCACTCATAAGTTGAGAACCTGATTACCACCACAAGGGTGAAGATGAGCTGGCAAGGAGTAAGGTTTCTGCTGACCCTTTTAGGTATGCTGGCTAAAAGTGGGTCAGAGCAATGCACCAGCGCCTGCCCAACTCCACTTAAGAATTGAAAGAACAAGAAAGAGAGACAGTGGATGCAAAAGAGAGCAGTCCTGCGAGAACCATGACAATCTGGTTTCTCCTGTTTATGTTCTCAAGGATGAAATATTGACAATAGGAGCCTCGTAGCTCAGTGCTAATTATAATCGTAAACAACCATGGTTGATTTATGTGAACCACATTTTTTTCAAGTTATTGTTTTGCTCAGAGTTGTGGTAGCTGCAATAAGTTCCTATGTTTGTCCACTGCTGACATTTGTAAACATGTAAATAGAGCTCAGATAACAACAGAGTTCCTCTTGAGATAGCCTCTTTGTTTTTTTTACTTCCTTGTGTTCATATCGATTCATGTTGCAGTAACGCTTTAAAATGAATAACCATTTAAGGTATTTCAGTACACAATCCTAATTGCAACAGAACTTTTTTTTTTGCAGTGTTTATTTCCTGTCTATCGTAAAACTCAAAACATCGGTGTGAAAGCAGTAAAGATAAAAGAAAAGTATAAACTGTAATTAAAAGAGGCCACCCTTTATTTGGAGTCTTTTGACTATTGTGGTTTTTGTTTTTGCTGTTTTTTGTTTTTTTCCAACCAGGCATAACTTTTGGGGTGGATGTGAATGAGAAACCAAGCAACGATCCATGCTCAGTAGTACTAGCTATAAATAACAGAGTACGCCCATTCTGAATCATGTTGTAATTTTTCACTTTATTTGAGGACCATAATTTGTAAAATGAACACCTTGTTGTATTCAACTCAACTCAAGCATCAAAGACTAGAAAATCACAAGGAACTATTTAAGGACATGTTTAAAGCAGGTCACTTGATAAAGCCATATCAGATGAACATCGGGCTTATTTCCCCATCAACAGGCACATACTGCATTGGTTTCCTCCATGACCTTTACTTTTATAACCTAACAAGTTCTGTTAATCTTTTATATACAGTCTATCACTGAGAGGCTGTTTATTTTTCCAATTTACGTTATAGTTTGATGCAAACCTGCATTACATATGTAGTTGGAATCAACCCTTAATAAAGCAGCTTGTATCCATCCACCAGTTCGATTGTTGCAAACAAATTAGTTCTTGATTAATTTGTGAGGAATAGATGACATAGAATAGATGACCTCTCCTCTGTTTTACACAGTATTCTGTGTAAAACCAATCCAATGTGTTCGATTGCATTTCATGGAAAAAGGGGCTGTCCAGATAGCATGCTGTGTGTTGAGGAAATAATATTTTGTTATTATAGTTTGCAAGAGCACCATCAGAATGAGCCAAAAACTGAATCTGTAGTAAAACGTTAACACATGTATCAGAGGAAAAGGGAATCGGTCAGAAACAGGCAAGAGCATGTTAGCTTTTAAAATGTAACCAGTCATTATTGTATAATTACCTCTCATTACCTCTCATTCAACCAATTAACAAAAACAAATATTATCCCTGTTTTCCCCATTCACAATGAGAAGCAGACGACTGTTTCTGCTAAGACATGTTCCTCATGGGTGTGTTTTTGTAAACTGGACTTTTCTATGAAGACAGAAATCTAAGAAATAAATCTCTTAAAAACTGAATACATAAAAAAATGCATAAAATTTATAGAGCACTTTGAGTACTCCGGGAGAGTAGAAAAGCGCTATATAAGAATCCATTTACCATTTACCATAAAACCAACATTGTCTTTGTAGATAAACAACTGACTCAAGTGAGAGAGAACACCCTGAGAAAAGAATGCAGCTCGGCCAGACCTTTCCTTAAACAAACAGTGCCGATGCAACATATTAGAGCTGTAAACACCATTTTCATATCTCAACACTGCATTTTGTCTTTCCCACTTAAACTTTTGTTTCTAAAAGACCAGAAAACAGTGATTAGTCCCCTTCGCTATTACTTATAGCTCATTATAAATAATCAATTATGTTGATTTGTAACTTCAAAGATAATGATGTATGAGAAATAGCAGTCAAATTTGAAAAATCACTGAAAGAACATAATATTTGTTCCTGATCCATTTTAGCCATCATTTAACCTTTACGACAAGTCAGTGACACTGATTGAAATAACTTCTGCTTTTCCTTCAGCTTCTCCTCAAGGCACTGAATGAGTACAGGGTCCACTTTGGGGTCAAACTTATTGGCAAACCAGTGGCCATAGTTCAGCAACCAACGCATTTCCGCAGCACCAAATATACAAACGCTGCGAACGTGTGTCCCTGTGCACGGTGGGTACAGCTGCTCCTCCAGGTACTGCCACTTCACCAGCCTGGTTTTGCTCATCAGGTCTGTAACATCAGGCTTGGATCTAGGCACCTCTCCAGGGACACCTGGCAGTCGCACAAGTGTTGCCCAAAAGTGTTCATCTGGGGAGTAGGTGTCCTCTGACCAGGACAAAAAATCTTTCACTACACCTGAGGCATTCATATACTCAATGAACTTCCGGGAAAGTACAAAGTAGGCGTTTCCAGAGAACACCTCAATATTGTGTGGTGGTGGGTTCTTTACATACTCTGTTTTCACTGGCAGTTTTTGATATTCAAAGCTGGCATCTTTCAGCTCGTAGTGAAAGGTGAACCGTTGTTTCTTAGCTGGTGTGGGTCGGCTCGTCTCTAGCATGTTTCTGCCATTCAGTTGCTTTAGTTCTGACACTAGCTCCATGTTGGACTTGAGAGGGAAGTCTTGGCCACAGAGGTTGATGACATACTTCCACTTGACTTCTGAACCCAAAAGGTCAGACAGACAGTTGAGATCAGCCTTTAATCGGCTAATGCTTGCATAATATACTGATTCTTTCTTGCTGGTAATGAAGACATTGGGCAGACATTGGGCCAAACCCTCCATGGCTGATATGAACTGAGCAGAGGACTTTTGATCATAGTGGATACAGTAGATATTACTGGGTGAGTACAGTGCATTGATGAGTCTCTCTACCATCCAGGCAGATTTATGCACAACCAAAGAATAAGCAATAGGAAAGTCTTGCTCCTCTTCTGTGGCACACACATTATCATAACCCCTGTACTTTCTGAATAAAGTACAGTTAGAGGTAAGATAAGCTAGACTTTCATCTTTACTCTCCACAACGTCTTTCTTTTTGATCAGCAGAGATTTCCCCACCTCCACTGGGTCCATGTCATAAATAGCAGAGCAATCAATATTGTACTTGGGAATTATCTGCATGTCTGTACCAATATGTGAAGGTTCAGTGATGTAGCCGTGCTTGACACAGACCAATAGCAGGATGGATATAGTCAGCAATGACAGGAGGGAAGGAAGGAACTGCTTTCGTCTTAGTCGCAGCGATAAACATCGCATGGTCATTCTGTAGTGAGAGAAAACACAACATGAAGGAACATAAACCCAACTGATAATGTTATTCTTCAGAAATACCTAACCACCTAAAATGTTCAGTTTCTTTTAGAATAGGGTTACTCCACATTTGTTTATTGTGCAATAACTTCAGCACATCCAGTGAAGCCTTGCAAAAACAAACAGATTCAATAGAAGCTTCTACCCACAGTCTGTCAAACGT